TCCTCGGCATCAGTTTTCCATCTACTTTTAGCTTCTGACGGAGCCACGTAGCTTTCCAGACCAGCTGTACCATTTTGCATTACCACAATCGATAAGGTTTCTAGTTTCCCCACATCCTTACCAACGTATGCTGTTTCTGAGGTTTTTTTCCCCTTGGCCAGCGTAGTGGTAGGTGGAGAGGCTCTCTGTGGTTTTGATCTGCGTCTCTCGGATAACTATGGCATTAAGCATATTTCGATTCGGGATGGCCATTTTCATGGCCTCTTTGTTGAAATGTCTATTCATGTTCTTTGCCCGTTTTTGATTGGGTTTTTTGTTGCTGTCAAAGTTTTATACAAAAGCAAGCAGATCCTGGGTTAGGAATGAGGCCTGGTCCTGAAAATGTCTTTAAGTTTAATCTGATGTAAGTTGTTACAGGTGCAGTGTTCTTATTTAGCCTTCGTCTAGTTGAAGAAAAAGGAGTTCTGAGTGCTGTTATTAATCAAAAGGTTAGCAGTTTGAATCCACCAGCCACTTCAAGAGAGAGAGATGGACAACCTCCTCCCGTTACGATTTCTACTCTTGGAAACATGATCGAGGGTCACTGTGGGCTGCAATCAACTTGAGGTTAGTGGTTCCTTAGGGATAGAAAAGGCTTAAAGCTTATCTAATTCTCTACAAATGCACCACGTGAAAGTGACGGGGAGGAAGAATTTGCGGGGAGCAGGGGTTGGTTCCCTCATTTCAAAGGGAAAGCAAATGCATAGAGCATTAAAGGCCAAGTTGTCCATAAATCAGGTATTTGTGACCGGGACACATACTGTGTACTTATTAGATTCTTTCCGTTGATGAAGATAATGTTTTCAAGTTTACAGAGCCCACTGGTGTCCGCTGAACCACTCAAACATATACTGCATTGTGTGTACACGTAATGGATTCGAATCCCCACCTTGGGTCATCACTTTCCCCTCTATTTTTCTGATTAGATTTTTACAAGACACATGGTTTTCTCTTAGTTGACAGCTTTGTCTTTTCACTGTTCTTAAGACATTTGAGAAATAAAAACTTTACTATTTTGCTGAATGGAAAACTGACTTTGTGCATAAACTTTCACTCCAACCGTAACAAAACGTTTTAAGGAACAATATTCAGTCTTTTTGAACTCCTACTTCTTTCTTTTGCCTTTTATTGTTTGTGTGTTTGTTGTTCTATTAGGTAATCAATCCACTGTTTCATTATAGTAGTTAATCCACGTTAAGAGGTAGACTCCCAAGGACCATCTTGATATTCTTAGTAATTTTTCAGAAATGGGGTTGTGTGTGTTCATTTCACGTTGACCCCTCGCAGTACAGATTCCTGCCTTTCACACCCCAAGGAGCTGATCTGATGGGGTGGGACTTGGCCGTGGGGTTAGGATTTTTCAACAGGCCTTTGAGTTCACGTCAGAGTGTACAATAATAAGGGGTTTTTAGGATATTCAGAGTTGTACAGCCATCACCCATGTAATTTCAGGATGCTTTCATCACCCCAAAAGAAACCCTCGCTCCCTCCTCCTGCTCCTGGTCCCCGTCAGCCACTCATCTGCTTCCGGTCTCTGATTTGCCCCATGGTACATTTCACGTAAATGGAATCCAATACGCTGTGATTCTGATGAGTGGATTCTTTCACTTAGCATCATGTTTTCAAGATTATGTCCATCTCTGAACAGATACCCCTACTTCATTCCAATCAGACTGGGTCCCTGACCTCCAGCAAGGTCCTACCCGACGGTGACACCGGAGGAAGACTGGCCTTGATTTCCCTCCTAGATTCTTGGAAACAAGTATTTGGAGGACAGATGAGGGACCAGATTAGGGGCAGCCTCTTAATCAAGCAAGACCACCTCCCACCACACACGCAAAAGGAAAAACCCTCCTGATACTTGCCCCTCCTGAAGCAGCCACGTTGCACCACGCGATGCCTCAGTCACGGAGCAGTAAGTCTGAAATCACAAGAATTCTCAATTAGAATTTCTCTTGATGGTAATCTGCTAAAACGTAGGAGGCGGCAAAAAACCCAAACAGATTGCAGCATTTTGTGGCAAATTCAACTATCTCCTTCAGCAAACAACTTCCAGCGTGTCTTGTGGTAACACCTTCTAAACATTGACTTTTTAAACCCGCCACTGTTGACTCACGAAGAAGGACAAGCAAACAACCAAAATCACACACATCGACGGCAAACTCCGATCCTGCCGATGGTTGTCCTTTCTGGGGTACCTTTCTGTCCAGTTCACACAAAGGAGATAGGAAGATAGAGTTGGAGGGGGAGAAGATTTCTAAAATGATTTTTTTAAGAACAGTGCTATACTCTTCTTCTGGAGAATTAAGAGATGAGAGCAAAAATGAAGAGGAAATCAGATAATGCGAGAGAAAATCAAATAACCAGTAAGAGTGAAACTACATTCAACCCCACAATTCCTCCAGCAGCCAGCAAACAGGGGGGGCCTCTGTGCTGATCAGACAGCCAGTAGCCAGGCGGCCAGCAGCCGGCGAGTGATAAGGACTAATGCGGTGAGAACGGGCGCTCTGACTCTTCCAGAAATCACTACCACACCAAATAAAAGGTTTCCAATCCTCCCCACTAATCCCTCTCCTGGTATTCAGGGGCCCCAAGATCATTTCCTCAGGAAATCATGGTAGATTAGGACAAGATTATGTATGCGCATGCTCTGAGCAGCATTAGACATGGGAGAGGCTCGGCGGGGAGCCCCCTGGGAGAGCAGGCAGCGGAGGGAGATGGGTTATGGAGGGAAGGCTGGGACCCAAGTCCTGGAGTGAAGACGAGTCCTGGAGTGCTGAGGATTTGTCCAGGACACTGTGAAGTCTTCCGGCCAAAGATATTTGTCACAGAAGGCCGTGTCTCTTGGGCGCCAGCACCTCGGCTGGGCTGTCACTGGCCAGGAGGACCCCAGGAGAAGCCCACTTCCTCAGGTGGGTTTTCAATCCAGAAGACAGGAATTCAAGCATCCCTGCAGGCTGGCATTATGTGTTTATTCCAATTCATGCTTTCAGAGGGCTGTTAATAGCATGGCAAAGAATTCTAGATAAAATGTAGTTGATCTAAGCAGGTTAGAATGGTCTTTATTAGAAATTATATATTCATATTACAAATAAAGTTGTTGTTAAGTGCCATCAAGTCACAGGCGACTCAGCGACCCTATGAACAAAAGTCCTTGACACCTGTATGCACAACTTTCATCCTTTCTCCAGGTTCATAGGGTTTCTGGAGGCATTAAAAACTATATATTGGATACTAAAAACCAAAATGACACAGTTTAGAAAAATGATATATTTACTGTTACTGACATTTTTACCATTTCCTCTCATTGCCATCTAGTTCAATGGCTCATCGTGACCCTTTGGGAAGAGGTGCTGTAGAGGGTTCCTGAGACTGTGGTCTGCCCAGCAGACGGCCTCACCCCATGCTGTAGGGTGGGCTTGGTTCACAGGCCAGCACCTCCCCGCTGCTCCTCTACGGCTCCCGCACACTGATATACATTAGACAAGGATACAGTACAGCTATACATTCCATAGAGATTCCCAAAGCTCTGAAACGCTAACCACCTTAGAGAGTACTCATTAGTGGCATTTAGAGTGTTCGTGATAATATACAACTGCAGCCCTGAAGTTCCAAGATACCCTAAATAACACTGACAAGCGTTACTCCCCATTCCTCCTCTCCTCAACCTGACTCCCACCAATCTGCATCCTGCCTCCTGGCTTCCCTGAAGCTTCCTATATGTCCCACCTGGCATGATGGTTTTGAGTTTGTTCACACCATAGCATGTAACAGGACTTTAGTCTGCTGAATGGCTGATAGTACCCCTTCACAGAATTCTGTAGTCTGTAGTCTTCCACTTCCTCGGTTAAGTTTATTCTTTGGTATTTTTTTTCTTTTTGAAGTTACTGTAAAATGAATTTAATTTTGAGTTGCTCATTGCTAGACTAGAAAAGCAAATAGATTTTTTTTAAAAAATTATTTTTTTGTGTGTACTGTCAAATCAGATCTGACTGGCACAGGAGGAGATTGCCCCTCCTTCTCCAGCAGAGCATCTGGGGGATTCAGACCACCTACCTCTTGGACTGCAATGTGGTTTCTTGCCACTAGGCCACCAGAACTCCCTTGCACACTGATTTTTTTTTTAATGAACAGAAAACAATTAGTGTTTTCTTAAAGACTATGCACACTGCTTTTTAATCCATTTGACCTCTCAACTCTCACCTTCAGCAAAGTCTAACTGTAGACCAGCCTCTGCATAACATCTGTGCTTACACACTTCCAGGACTGAACTATTAAACCCCAGGAGCAACAGTGGTCTCAGTCTAGGCCTAGCCGAGGCCTCAGCCCTGAGCCAAGTGCACAGCTCTAACACTGTGCAGACCCTCGGCCTCTGTGTCCCTGGCTACATCTGGCACTGGCTCCTCTTTGGGTAGCATTAGCACTGTGGCTGATGTATTCCTACGAGAGATCAGCTGTCAGAGTCCCCATACAGCTCCCACCTCCACCCAAAAGCACACTGATTTTTTTACACGATATTTGTGTCATGGAATTTCCAAGAGTTCTGTTCCACAGCGGTTAATTATAAAGGTCTACAGTTCAAATCCACCGTCTGCTCAGGAGAGAGCTGCACACACAGTCTGTGTTCATCAAGGCCTACAGTCTTGACAATCCTACGGAGCTGTTCGGCTGTGCCCTACAGGACTGCCAACGAGTCATGGCCCACTGGACGGCAGTGGGTGTGGTACACCACCTGCGAACATCTTCCTTTCTAATCCAAATGCCTCGTTTCCTGGGCTAAAACCTCCAGCAAGATTCTCAGTCCAAGTGGCAAGGATCTGTACCTTGTTTTTGATCTTGGGGGAGGATGTCCACTGTGAAGTGTGTTTGTAGTTTATTGGGTGGAGAAAATGCCCTTTGATTCCTAGTTGAAGGTTTTGGACACATGAAGGGAACTTGGGATGCTAATTCCTCCCACGCAGGTTCCTTTGAAGGCCGCACGGGACAATGTGTGGGGGACACTGAGCGTGGAGGCTGACTGTGTCGGCAGCTACCATTTCGCATGGGAGGGGCTACGCAGCAGCCAGGCCGCTGTGGGTGCGTCCACAGCTCCCCACTTGGCGGCAGTGATGTGGAACCAGTTATGTAACCTCTCTCAGCCCCAATTTCCTTATCTCTGAAAAGAGGCCAATAATAGTACCCACTTCACAGGGTTGCTGCCAGGATTCGATAGCTTATCACAGCCCTGGCAGGTAGTGGTAGACGTGATTTCTATCACCAGCTCTACGTGCCCAGGACGGGATACTCAGCACTATGGTAGATGCTGATAACACGGCAGGTAGTCCTCGCCCTTGACAAGGGAAGTTCTCTGAGTGCAGGGCTGAGGTGGCACCACCAAGCACACAGTGCCAGGTGATGGACACGGGGCCGACGTGGGGGCGCTGGTGGGGTACAGAGTGAAGCAAACAGGCCAGGTCAGTGTTGCTCCAGGAGGAAAACCCTCAGCAGAGACTCAGAGGCAATCAGCCCGGGGCACTGCTAGTGAACCATGGGGGTCATCCCGCCTGTAAACCAGCTACGCTCGTAGAGACCGAGGGTGTCCACAGTGAATGCCGGGCACTCACTGGGCACTTTACCCTAGAAATTGAAGTGGCGTCTGACAAGGTGAGAGGAGGGAAGAGACGCTGTGAAGGACAGTGCCAAAGAGGAACACTGAATCCGCCAGACTGCCGGAGCATGAACGAGTCTATCCTGGAAGAGTCTTGGCCAGAGCACTCCTCACAGTGACGACAGGGACACTCTGTCCCATGACCTTCGGCCCTGTGACGGGGACAGTCAGCCCTGGAGAGACACAGCAAGCCTGGCAATGTGGAGGGTCGGCAGAAAAGAGGCAGATGCTCAGGAAGAAAGGCTGCCCGGCGGCTGACCAGACAGTTAGTCGTGGCTCACCACCCTCCAGCACCCCCCAGCAGGAGGAAGGCTGGGAAGGAGGGCCGTGGAGACGGCTTGAGGAGAACGGAGAACTCCGCAAAAGGACGAGATCAGGTTGGAGATGGAAAAGAAAGCAGGGTGAGATTGAGACTAACACAAACTAGCTGACACAAGACATGTGTCCGATACAGCAGGCACATGGCATCTTCACGACAACCCTGTGGGGTGGTGTCATCACTGTCTGAATATTTCCGATGAAGAACTTCAAGTAGAAGAGATTGTCCCTTGCCTGAGGTGGGCAGCGACCAGATCAGGCGGGTCTAGGAGTTCACAGTGAGGACCAGAAGACGTGGAGATGTGTAACAGGTCATGGTGATAAAATGGGATTTTATTCTCAGTGCAGCAGGAAGTCACTGGGAGTTGGAGCTGGGGAGGGACTCGGTCTGACTTGTTATTATACGCTGTGCAGTCAACCGTCACTCAGAGAGAGACTATTAGCAATGACTCTGAATCGTGCCCTGTCCTGAGCCAACCTCTTCATCTCTGACACACCTCTGCCTCCAGTGCCACAATGTGTCAATCCATCTCATCCAGGGTCTTCCTCTCCCACACTGAGCCTCTACCCTTACAAGCATTCCATTTCCAAGAAATGGTCCTTCCTGACAACATGCAGAGAGTATGTGAGATAGAGCTTCAAAATCCTTGCCTTCAAGGAGCATCCTGGTTTCACCCTCCCCAGGACAAACCTGTCTATTCCTCTGACAGACTATGGTACGTTCAATACCCTTCCAAAGCACCACAACTCAATGGATTTGATTCTTTTGCCATCACTAGTCACTATCCAGCTTTCAGATGCATAGAAAGTACCTGCAAAGACCACGGCCTGGATCACTTAAGTCTCTAAACTGTCACCATTGCTCGTCAGCACTATGGAGAGCTCCCGACTTTCCCAGTGCAATTTATCTTGATTTCCTGACTGCTAGTGCCAAGAGCGTTAACTGTGGATTTGAGAAAGACAAAATCATTAACCACCTCAATCTTTTGTCCAACTATGATAATGATGCCAACTGGCCCCGTGATAAGTATCTTTGTTTTCTCGATGTTGAGATGCAATGTATTTTTAAAATATCACTCTAACTGCGTTGAGAACAGAAGAATAAACAGAAAGAGATCGGGAACAGTGCCAGGTCTATCGATCTCAAGCAAGAGATGCAGGCGGCTTCAGAAGCTGCAATGTCAGTGGGGCTAAGGGGAGCGGGTGATGTGTGACTGGCCTTGGTGGGGGGCTGGCAGTCACGGAGAGACTGCTGAGTGTCAAAAGGAGAGCAAAAAGAACAAGGATGACCTCCGAATGCTTGGTGACACAACTGGCTGCTTGGTGGGGCCACTGGAAGACAAGTGGGAGATTAGAAGCTGAGAAAAGCAATAAGTTGTGAGACAAGAGAAACTTGTGAGCAGTGGGGAGTAGAGTCAATGGGAAAAGCAAAAAGGTACAAGAGCCAGAGAAAATGAGAGAGAAAGGTGCAGGCAGACGAGAGAGGCGGGGTAGGTTCTAGGGGACTTTAGGACTCAGCCGGGGATGGAGCTGGGGGATTTCTTCTCAGACGCCGCTCCTCTTCCCCTGCTGTCCCCCTAAGCCTCTCCTGGACAGCCCCTTGTCCTCCTGCTTCTCAGCGCAGATGGCCTCCCCCACAGGCTACACCTGGACTCCCCTCTCCGGAGTCTTGCCCTCTCCCCGGTTACCGCTGGGTACCACTCGGTACCACTGTGCTCTAAACCTAGTTCCGGGGACTGGAGAAAAGAAGACAGACCCCCAGCTCATGTCCCTGGTCAGCCCCGCCTCATGGCCACCCTGAGGGGCAGGGACCTGCCCTCCTTACAAATCAGACTGCAATCTCTTTCTGAGCAACTGAGGGTTCCACCCTCCAGATGCTTCAATCATGGCACCCCCAGAGCTTGTACAGAAAGCATGGCATTTTATGCATCGTGCAGAGAAGGGGGCCTTTCCACTGCATTGAAACATGGAACAGGGTTAGAAAAGGTCTGAGTCAAAGCAAGGAGCAGCCGGCAGGCGTGCCAAGCAGGCTGACGTGGCACTGCTCTCCCCAGTTCATAACACAATCAGTCAGCAGCTCCAATCAGCCCAAACCAGGCAAGTGCTGAAGAGACTCTTCACACTGAGAGCAGGGAAGCAGGTGTTCGCCTGGAGAGCCTCCCTCCCAGCATGACCGTGACCGTGACTGTGACCCGGCCAGCAAGGCAGAAACCCCGGCCCCCAACACACCCGGTCCCCAGGCCTCGTCCCCCGAGGGGGTCTGGGAGCTTCTCACAAAGCCTCCGGGAGCTCGGAGATGCCCCATGCTGCACCCTGACTCCGGACCCCGTCCTGGAAATGGACAGACACGCTTTCAGGTCTAGACTAAACCCAGAGAGCGTCCAGGGTCACGTCACGATGAAGAGGCACAAGCTAAACAGCTGGAGCTGGGGTGCGTGGGGACCTGAGCCCACCGGATGTTTTCTGGGGTGAGATGGGAAGAAACAACCGTTGTAAAAGCCTAGATGCTAACACGGAGGACAAATGCAGCCAGCGGCCCTACATGCATCTCAGTTCAGATGATGGGACACGGAAGGGGCGGCTGAGACAGCACATAAACCGGCGAAGCTCAGTTCCCACCCCGACGCGCCCTCCCGAGCCCCGCTGAGAGGCTGGACCTGGCATCTGGGTCATCTGCGTACGTGACACGGGCTGTGTCATCTCAGGGTCCACCCATAAGCACGAGCAACCCAAACTGACACAATATTAACAGAAAACTGCCGAAGGCACAATGGGTCAACCTCGGTGCTAACCAAAAGGTGGGCAGTCTGAGTCCATCAGCAGGAAAATGGCATGGCCGCGTGCTGCTCTGAACAACTACAGCCTCGCGACCCCCCAACCTCGGGGAGCTCTCGGCCTGTCCTGCGACCCTGTCCGGCGACCCTGATCTGAGAGCCTGTCCTGTGACCCTGTCCTGCGACCCTGACCTGAGAGCCTGACCTGCGACCCTGACCTGCGACCCTGTCCAGCGACCCTGTCCTGCGAGCCTGACCTGCGACCCTGACCTGAGAGCCTGACCTGCGACCCTGTCCGGCGGTCACTGCACGCTGGAACCCACCCCAGCAGCGGTCCGTCGGTACAGGTGCAGACACAGGTGACAGTCATCTGCTGGGAGTGTCCGGGACATCACGGGGGGTGGCCGCGCCGGGCCCGCGGGGCTGCTCCACACCAGCGTCCACTCCTCCGCCCTCCTCCCTGGAGTCTGCCTCCCGTGACCTCCGAGGTCGGTGGGGGTGCGGCCCGGGGCCCGTCAGGACGGCGCTGGACACAGCAGTGACCGGCACCAGCTTACCGTCGTGGAGAGCGCCGGGGCGGTGACCTGCTGTTACAGGAGAGGCTGGGGAAGGGGCCCGGCCTTCGTGGGCAGCAGCCCCGGAGAAGCCTCGCGAAGAGCCGGGAGAGGCAGAGGAGGCGACCCGAGGGCCAGCCTGTCACCCCGCGAGCCCGGACGGACCTCACGCTCAACTTCCGGCCCCAAACCAGACGCCCGGAAGCTGACCCCCAGTATGAGGACGGAAAACTGGACCTCGAGATCAAAGGGCAGCGCCTGCCTGAGGACAGGAAGGCGGGGAGCAGCGGGAGCACGAGGACCGGAAGCCAGGGAGGTGCACGAGCACCGGAAGGCGGGGAAGGCAGGGCGGGGCGCGAGCACGACGACCGGAAGGGGGTGAGGGGCGCGAGCACGACGACCGGAAGTCAGGGGGCACGAGGACCGGAAGTCAGGGGGCACGAGCACGAGGACCGGAAGTCAGGGAGGGCGCAAGCACGAGGACCTGAGGACAGGAAGGCAGGGAGGGGCGCGAGCACGAGGACCGGAAGTCAGGGGGCACGAGGACCGGAAGTCAGGGGGCACGAGCACGAG